AAACCCTAGTTGGTCTTGATGTATTATCCTTTAAACCTGTTTCTAAATACTATGTACTAAATTGTTTGAATCCAAATGTAAGGAGTATCGGTTTGTAACTTTATTCTTTTGCCTTTGTCAGGTTTGGGTATTTGAGTAATACTTTGTCAGGTTCACTATTTGGGTAATACTGGCCTCATATATCAAGTTGGAAAGGGTCATGAGAATGTTTTGTGTGGATGAGAATCAGAAACAAAAAGGAAGTCACACATTGACCTGTGAGCTGGAAATCAATTAATAGTTTTTTGCCTCTCTCAATGTGCCAGGTTGTGCAATTCTGGAATTTGTCACAAGCTCTGAAATAAAGATAAGGAGATAGTGCTTTGGCAGCATTATGTATCAGTGAGAACAGAATCAGCTGAAAGTGAGGCTGTGTCACATCGATTGCTAAATGGAATAAACTTGGAGCAATTGGTTTGGACATAAAATGGTTCACCCTATGCCCACTTTATACAGAGCTTTTCCTTTGAAATATTGTTTTTCTTTTTGATACCATTAAGAAGAAAGTATTTAATTAGTAGTTTCTGTACTTTTAACAACTTTAAAAGGGAAACTAATGTTATTATAACAGAGCAGGCGTACACTAGGCCAATTGCAGTTTTCTTGAGATATAACTGACATGCAGGACTGCATAAGTTTAAGGTATATAGTGTAAAGACTTGACTTACGTATATTACGAAATGATTACTACAAGTTTAGTTAACATCCATCACTTCAGATAGATACAAAAGAAGAAGCCAGTGGGGGAAGGAGCAGGAAGAGAGAGAGAAAAGGACAATGTTTTCTTGTGATGAGAACTTTTAGGATTTATTCTTAACAACTTTCAAATATGAGTATACCATAGACAAGTGTTAGTTAAAGTCATTATGGTGTAGGTTACATCCCCATGACCTGTTCATCTTATAACTGGAAGTTTGTACCTTTAGACCACCTGCATCCGATTCCCCCACCCCCTCTCCCTGCCTTTGGTAACCACAAATTTGATCTTTTTTTCTTTTCAGTTTTATTTACTCATTCATTCATTAGATTCCACATATAAGTGAGATAATATAGTATTTGTCTTTCTCTGTCTGACTGATTTCACATAGCATAATGCCTTCAAAGTCCACCCATGTTGCCACAAATGGCAGAATTTCCTTCTTTTTATGGCTGAGTAGTATTCCATCATTGTGTGTGTGTGTGTGTGTGTGTGTGTGTGTGTGTGTGTGTGCGCGCGCGCGTGTGTGTGTTTCTTTATCCATTATACCCATAAATGGAATTGCTGGATCAAATGGTAATTCTACTTGTGATTTTTTGAGGAATCTCCGTACTGCTTTCCACATGGGCTGCCCCAGTTTGCATCCCCACCAACAGCGCCTGAGGGTTCCCTTTTCTCCACATCCTCGCCAACACTTGTTCTCTCTTGTTCTTTTGATGATAGCCATTCTAACAGGCTTGAGGTGCTATCTCATTGTGCTTTTGATTTGTATTTCCCTAATTATTAGTGATGTTGAACACTTTTTCATGTACCTGTTGGCTATTTGAATATCTTCTTTGGGAAAACGTCTATTCAGGTCCTTTGTCATTTTTTAATGGGATTGTTCATTTTCTTTGCTATTGAGTATGAATTTTTTATATATCTGGATATTACCCCTTATCAGATATATGATTTGCAAATATTTTCTCCCATCTCATAGGTTGCCTTTTCATTTTATGATGGCTTCCTTTGCTGTGTAGAAGCTTTCTACTTTAGTATAATCTTATTTGTTTAACTTTTATTTTGTTGCTTGTATCATATCCAAAAAAATTATTGCCAAGACCCATGTCAGGGAGCCTTTTTCCAGAACAATTTTCCAAAACTCACAAATTATGTGGACTACTTTCAGAGGAAAATAAGTTTTCTGGGCCTATTATAATTTTATTTGAAATTTATAAACATAAAACTATAGCTTGTATTCTTTGCTTTTACATAACTATAAAAGCAATGCACAGGGGGCCAGCTGGGTGGCTTAGTTGATTAGAGCATGTGCTCCTAACAACAAGGTTGCTGGTTTGACTCCCACATGGGATGGTGGGCTGTGACCCCTGCAACTAGATTGAAAACGGCAACTGGACTTGGAGCTGAGCTTGCGCCTTCCACAACTAAGATTGAAGGACAACAGCATGACTTGGAGCTGATGGGTCCTGGAAAAACACAGTGTTCCCCTCCCTCAGTTCCCTGACACTGTTCCCTTCCCCAATTCCTCAATAGAATCTTAAAAAAAAAAAAAACAATGCACACAAATTAAGTATGAACAAAACTTTAAAAACAATGAAATTCAAGTTGATAATATTAATTTAATATAAGGGATGGTATTGTTTTGCTGAAGCTAAACTGATGCTTACAGTCTGAGTGTAGTACTCTGTTTCAGCCTGAATTGTTTTGAGCTTGGCAGGCCGATATTACGGGTGCCATGTGATGACTTAATTCTTCTGCCATTTTTCTCCATTTCAACTTACATGAACTGTTCATATATCACTGATTACATCATTAAGTGTTAAGTCTACGTCTGTGCCGCTATTCTTTTTTAGTCAGAGATTATAAAGTATAAACCATTTAATACCAATGCAAATATAAATGCGGGCAGCAAATTGTGTACCAATCTCCAGCCTTATGGGCCTCATCCAGATGACTTAGAACTTGGTCATATTAATTTATTTTAGATTATCATCAACAATGCACAATTTAGAAATCTCCTAGTGAACTGTAAACCTTCAAGCATATACATCACTGTTGCCCATGGGTCTATCAGCACGGAATTAGAACTCTCAAAAGAAGAAAAGGCTGGAAGTGTCACAAAGGCCTAGAGGCCCGAGTGATCTTGTCAGGACACATGGTAAATATTTCATTCCCTGAGTCCCAAGGAGCCTGAGTGTGGAAACAGAGGAGCCAGAGAGCAGCTGATGTGCGGAGGTCATGATTGAGAAAAGGTACCAGGCATGCTTGTTAAACCAGCAGGGGTGTACACACAGCTGCCAGCTTCCTACACTGCTCACCTATGCCAGGCTGAGTGTCTTATGTCCCTCCACACTGAATTGTTGGATTCAGATGCCATCAGCAGATACATGAACCTAGGGCATAGTAAAATACTGCGCATGTTTTCAGATGTTTAGCATATTGGGTTTTGTTAAAGCAAGGCTCATCATCAGAACAGGAAGAGTTTTTCTTTCCCTGAAATGGTGGACATGCTGTGTGTGTCTTTACTTATTTACTTACTGAAACATTTCTCTCTTTTTTTTTTATTGTAGTAAGAATATTTAACATGAGATACACCCTCCTGACAGATTTTTAAGTGTGCAATACAGTATTGTTAGCTCTAGGTGTAATGTTGTATAGCGGATCTCGAGAACGTGTTCATCTTGCATAGCCGAAACTTTATACCCCTTGAACAACAACGCCCTCTTTCCCCCTCCCTGCCAGCCTCTGGCAACTACCATTCTACTCTCTGCTTCTATGAGCTTGAGTGTTTTATGTACCTCATACAAACAGGGTCATACTGTGTCTGTCCTACTGTGACTGGCTTATTTCACTTAGCAAAATGTCCTCAAGGCTCATCGATGTGGTCGCATATGGCAGGATTCTCTTCTTTTTCTTAAGGTTGAATAATATCCCGTGTGCCCTCTGGATGTACGCTAAATGCAGTGCCGTTTCAGTGGCTCCCAACCCACCCGGATTCTGTCTTGTCTGTTGTCAATTCTCTAGTCTCTTGTAATTTCCTAAACACCTCCATGGTTCCTGTTGACTGGGGGCATGAAGAGAATGGAAGGAGGTCCCAACATCCAAGGAGGGGCTGAGGCCTGAGTGGCAACTTGCTGAGGGTTGAATCTCACAATGCTTTGCTGCCTCGCTGCTGTTGCCCGAGCGCCACTACCACACCTAATTATCGATTTTCCAGGGCCCATTCTTATCACTTGGCTCTGAAAGGTTTTTCCATCACTTCCCGTCCCTGTGGAAATACCTGTATCATGGGGACTGGGCTTAATTGTCCTTGTTCTCTCATCTTCTAACTTTGCCCACGGGGCCTGGCCCTGCCAGCCCACCCAGCTACCCCAGTGGGCCCTGCCTCCACCAGACTCTTTCTCCAGGCCACGTGGTGGGCAGCCCAGCAGAGGACAGCCCTGGGGTCTCTGACAGCACGGGCACAGAGGGCTTGGGCAGAGGGCAGCCTGTGTTTTGTGCGATTCCAAAGGCCCATGGTTGGCGAACCCACTGAAATACTATCCAAAATACTATCAGAATGTTTCTAGTCTGCAACCTCGATACTCATAGATCCCACCTTTTGTAGGTGGTAAGTGGAAATGGAGGTTTTTACCTTTCTATGTAATTCTTTTTTTCTCCTCAATGGCCTGGGAGCTAGAACTTTAAATACAGCTTTGCCGTCGTTGCTTCTTCCTGTTTAGAGAGCCTGGCATAATATTTTGTCTTCTGGGCTCAAATAACCATGTAATTACTCTGTAATCATATAGTAATTAGCATGTACTATATGCATTTATTACATAATTATATTCCTGGAGGATTGCATGGCAATTATACTTACATTCAGCGTATCATTTTATATACTGTATAATGAACAAGTATATAATTTGTTGCTCTTTTTCTTTTATCCTAATTTCAGTTTACCAACCAGGAGCTGGAAACTTCTTCTCCTGTTGCCTTGTTTGTACGTAGTTGGGCAGGTGCCTGAGCTGCTTTGGCCTCTCTCAATGCCTCCTAATTATACATTTAAGAGAGTGCTGGGAGCTTGTGTTTCGCTGTGGGCTCCCGGCATTTGTTCTCCTCATATTTCTTCCTTGTCCCGAGCTTGTTATTAGCTTCAAAACACAACGTTGATCAGGGCTCCCAGTGTTGCCAGGTAGAAGGCAGGGTCTCTATGAAAACAGGCGGGGTGAGCAGCCCAGGCGCCCCGCACGGTCCTCATGCCCGCCTTTGTCTCCTTCTGCAGTCGAGCACATTCCCAAAGGGAACAACTGCCTAGATGCCGCCAAGGCCTGCAACCTCGACGACACCTGTAAGAAGTACAGGTCGGCGTACATCACCCCCTGTACCACCAGCATGTCCAATGAAGTCTGCAACCGACGCAAGTGCCACAAGGCCCTGCGCCAGTTCTTCGACAAGGTCCCGGCCAAACACAGCTACGGGATGTTGTTCTGCTCCTGCCGGGACATCGCCTGCACAGAGCGGCGACGGCAGACCATCGTGCCCGTGTGCTCTTATGAGGAGAGGGAGAAGCCCAACTGTTTGAATCTGCAGGACTCCTGCAAGACAAATTACATCTGCAGGTAAGCGCCCCCCGGCAGCCGGGTGATGAATGAGGTGGCAGGGAGAGCCTTCGTGGCTGCTTCCGTGGCCAAGATCCCGCTTTGCTTCTACCAGGGGACGAGGCTGGAGGGGAGGGCAGTCACTGGAAGGGATTGGCCAGAAACTGACCCCTGTGTCTGACACGCGGTTCTTCAGAAGCTGGTCAGGCTCTTATGCTGGGGAAGGTTCCCGTCTTTTAAACCGGGAAGCTTTGAGAGGTGCTGGAATGAGGTAAATACAGCTACGCTGAGAGGGTCACCAGAGGCCAGGTGAGCCTGAAGGCACATGCCCACTCTGCAAGCCCTGAGATGCTGCCAGGCATCACAAGGAGGGAAGTAAGTCATGGGAGAGGGTGGGCTGGAGATACAGAGGCTCTTGGCCATCAATGTCAGAAAACTGGAAGAGATCAGAAAGACTGAGCTGTGCCGAGTCCTGAAGAGGAGAGCTTCCAGAATGCCTGGGTCTGTTCTGGGCCAGTCAGTCCTAGACATGATTGTAATAAGGACAGTGGGCACCTTCCCCCTCAACCAGGCTTCCAATCCCAGCCTCCCTCAGAAACCTTGCTAAGCCTGGGCCGTGTTGTTGAAAACAGTCTCTTCCTTGTCCCTTTCGGCCATTTACTAATTTATTTCAATGTTTGAAGGAGTCCAGGAACACAGCCTCTCTGTTTGTTTGTTTTTTTTTAAAGAGATATAGAATGAGATGGAGGGAAACAGAGGGTCCTTCTTCATGCTGCTTTCACTTGCCCCCAGCTGTCACTGTCAGCAATTTGATGTGTATCCTTCTAACTGAATTGAGGATTGCATTCAGTTGCTGATCGAAGCAAGTATGTTGATGAGCAGACGTAAGTCTCTGCAGCCTAAGGCAGTGTTGGTGCCACATACGGATGTGAAGACTGGATCCAGGGCTGGAGGTTCAGAGGCAGCAGCATGCTGACAACACCTGTACTCTGTCCCCAGGGTAGAGCCAGGAGCCTTCAAACACCATCTCTGACAGCATCCTATGCACCCAGTAAATATTCAGTGGACCAGCAGATGAGGGCGTGGTGATGTACCTATTTCTTTATAGATGTCCCGTGTCTAAAGAGCAGGGGAAAAAATGATATTTTGAGGATTCTGGTGTGCCGAGGTTCTGGTCAATTTAAGTTTTATTCTGGTAGAATCTGATCCCATTCTTTCCTTAAACTAGCTCTAATAGTGACCGAAGGAAAAATGAAAGTCCTCATTATTTGTAGAACCCTCTCGTGCTGAAGGTTTTCTGAGAGTAATGTCCCGACACCTTTTTGTTTAAGTTGGAAGGAGGTGACCTGCTCTATGAGGGAGAGCTCAGGTGACCAAGCGGGTCTTGGGAGGAGGCAGGTGTTCCTGCAGTGAACTTCTCCGAGGACTCTTACTCCCATGCCCCTTTTCCACGAGACCCTCTTAGCTGTGGGCTAGAATCAGGATGGTTGTGCTAGACGGGCCCTACAGAAGAGGCAGGGCCTCCAGGAGGCAGCCATAACCTCGGGAAGCCAGTCACCAGGACCCCCGCTGGAGATGAAAGCAGTGAGGAGCAGGACGCAAGAGGAAAGCCATAGGAGCTCTGCTTGGCGTGTACGATGGGAGGAAACAGACATTCTGAAGTCACCTCTCCTGAAGTCCCCTGGATCTGAAATCCAAGCTCCTGGGACCCTTTCATCTTTGAGCAGAAGGGCTCCCTCTTCTAGGAGCAGGACTGGGTTTCCTGGGTCTCCCTTGGCTTGAAGCCAGACGGATACAGCTCCTCTCTCTCTACAGTAAGACGTGACCCTGTTCACTGATGGGTCCAAGCCAGGAAGTAGCTGTACAGGGCAGGAAAGGAGCCTTGTGTCCACTGGGCAGTGGCTGGGAGATGGGGGGAGGGCATGGGATGGAGCCTTTTCCTTGTCTTCTCACAAGAGAAGACCTCATGCACATGAGGTCCCGAGGAGGTCCCCGATGTCTCCTACACAGGCTGAAAGCCCACCCTAAGCAGCTCATTTGAATTACCTGGCCAGCTCTTCCAAAAAGAGACAATCCTTAGCCGGTTAGTGTGAACTGATCACATTAGATTGCTTTCGTGCTAAGCTGTCGTGAGAAATAGCTGGGAGTTTGGGAGCTCGGGGTGTTCTAGGGGAGATAGCAGGCAGAACCTGCAGTAACAGGATGGTTTAGATGCCACTTGGGGGCTCAGGCCGACCTGGTAAGAAGGTTCCAGGAACCGTTTGTGTCCAGGCAGCCCCGGTAGCATAGCGTGGCCTCAGCTGATGGGGCAGAAATGAGCAAGGGGCAGCAGGACAGGCTTCGCCTACTAACTAACTGTGCCTGGTCACACCAAGGTTGGGACGTGACAGCAGCCACCAGGCAGAAAGGCGTGGGTGAGGTGGGCTGCACGGTGCAACTGGAGGGAGGTTTTATGCTGCTGCCATGTTTCTGGCTCTGGGTACAGCTCGGAAGCTGCTTGGAAATCCAGATCCTAGGCTCTCCAGGGTTCCTACCAAGTGAAATCTGTCTCGGTGTGATTGATGGCTTTTATACCCTGTCGTCTTGAGTCTTCCCCGGAAAGGTGAATCAGCGACTTCCCCTGGTGTTCGCTGTCGTCATTTAGCCCATAATTGCTTCCCACAGCCTGGACTTATTACTCATGATTACCCCCTCCCTGTCAGTTGTGGTAAATGTAATTTAAGCTGCTAGGTAGGCTAGCAGTGTTTAGGATTTTTTTTAAAATCAGATTTTATTAATCTTGTCTTTAATTTTATGCCTTTTATTTCATCCCCCTCAATCCATCTTGGGGAGGCCCTTGTAGTTGCTACTCCCCAGAGCAGCTGCTGGGATGAGCTGGAGCCAGGACTTGCGTGGGGCTTCACCTTGCATTTGCTTTGACCCTTCCCCACCCAGAGGGAGGGAGGCGGGTGCCGCTGATGGGTGATTTCAAGCCTAATTTGAATATTTCCAAAGCGAAGGGATGGCAAGGAGGAAAGTGGCTTCTCCCAAACCATATTCTTCAAAAGCTGACACTTTCAAATGCTCCATTTCCATCTCAACATCACAACTGAGGAGCTGCTCAAGCTCATTACAACTTGCACTTACTATTTTCCAACTCGCAGCACACAGGTTTCCTGCCCCCAGGGTCCAGCAGCGCCTCTGCGCCAAACCTGCCTCTCCCCTGCCCGGTGCCTTCAAACAGAGGAGATGCAACTTTAGCTTTTCCTTTCGACTTTGTCTTTTTTCCTTTCCCTTTTAGGGAAGCGGACAGGTTCCTTTCCTCTTGGGGTGGTTGGGGACAGGGGAGAACTGGATGGTTTGGGCCTCTAAGCTTGTCTACAGAAAAGCAAATGTGGACGTATGATTAGAAGGGTGTGATGAAGTTTAAAAGCCTCCCGTTCTTCCTCGGAAGCACAGTGTCTCCCTTGCCAGTTTTCTTCTGCTTGCTTTCCTTAGTACCTGAACGATGTCAGGACTGGGCTTGGCCGTAAAGGAAGTATAAACCTTTATTCCCGGTGCACGTTGTTATATATACATAATTTAAACTTATGCTCTACCTTCTTGTCTCCAAACTCTGATATCCAAAATAAGGCCAGCCTTTGAGCTGTGGCAGTGGGTGCTGCAAATATGTTCATAGATCTCTTTTATTTTTTTAATTGATCACTCAGATGCCTCCACTATTGTTTATTACCAAGAGTTCCAGCGTCTTCCTCTTGAACACGGTCCTTGCTGTTTTTGTCTAAGAATTGCAGTTATATCCCCAAACTCACTGTGCCTCCAATGCCAAGCAAAGAGGGAGCCTGAGGCTAATGACCAGCCCACCTACCTGCCTGTGGCTTTAGCTGCTGCCAGACGGTGTCGCTGTTGAGAACAGCCAGGAGGATACTTGGTGGTTCAGTGGCTGTGCCCTTTCCTGCATTCTTGGGTGCCAGGGTAACAACTCTTGGTTCATACTCAGTATATAGCCACATTTCCCAAAGTATGACATTTTGCCCTGGGGGCTGGGTGCTAAGGGGTTCCAGCCAGAGACAGCCCTCCAACTGAACACATAGTATCCCAGACTCTCCGTTTCCTGGCGATGCATCCATAGGTGGAATTGAGTGGTGCATTTGTTTGCTTTTCCTTCCTTCCTTCCTTCCTTCCTTCCTTCCTTCCTTCCTTCCTTCCTTCCTTCTTTCCTTCCTTCATTCCTTCTTTCCTCCCTCCCTCCCTTCCTTCCTTCCTTTTTAAAGTTTTATTGTGGTAAGAACACTTAACATGAGATCTACCCTCGTTTAAGTGCACAATATAGTATTGTTAGCAGTCGGCATGATGTTGTCCTATAGATTTCTAGAACTCACTCACCTTGCATAACTGAAATTTCATACCCATTGATCAGCAACTCCCTGCTCCTGCCTCCTGCTTCTCCTTCCCACCCCACCCCCCCTCCAGCCCCTGGCAACCACAATTCGGTGCTTTGCTTCCATGAGTTTGATGATTTAGATACCTCATATAAGTGGAATCATACAGTATTTGCCCTTCTATGACTGGCTGATTTCACTCAAGGCTCGTCCATGTTGTTGCATATGGCAGGATTTCCTTCCTTTTTAAGGGTGAAATAGTACTTCATCATGGATATCTCACTCCTTCAAGAAAGATTCAGATAATGCCAAACCTCAAAAGGGAAGGGGTCAAGCCTTCCCCAAGGCTTTCTTGACCCCACTGGAGATAAAGCCACTCATCCTGGTTCCCATCCTCTGTGTCTCCATAGTTTCCAGGAATGGCGCTTTTGATCAAGTCACTAAGTATATGGTTCCACCTTTCCCCAAGGACTGAGAGGATCCTATAATTGTATCCTAGACATCTGTGGGTTTTTTGTGTTTGTTTTCTGTTGTTGTTGTTTTTAGCAGAACCAAGAAGGCCTCCTTGGTGCAGCTCCAGAGGAATAGCATATGTCATTTTGAAAGTTCTTCCCTAGCCAGCACCACGTTTTCCACTGGGGCTGACCCTGTTACACTTAG